TTTTTTAATTAGCTTAAAAAGCAGAATCAGTCTAAAGATAAATCTCTAAATATTTTTGTAAATAAGTCCAGTGTTAATTAGCACTGCGAAACTAGAATCCGATCAAATTATTTATATATAGCAATGTTTCCCAAACTTCTTAGCTTTGCAACTTACACATATATACAAATTCTGTCTGAAAACCATATCATAGTTTACAAAAAGAAATTCTTTATTGTGTGTTAGTGGCGAATTTGTTTATAATTTGTTATATTATATATAATCATGCATGTCATAGGTTAGGTTTAATACAAACTTCCCGCACCTGTACCTGTATAGTTATTTAGAGTGATCAGAGTGGTGGCCATTAGTGACCAAACATGTACCACAATGGCCGAGTGGTTGTTGCACATGCCACTTCTTGACAAAGAACCTCAAACATAACCATTTTTCTGTGCTATACAATGTCCTTCAAGGACCCCCAATGCAATTTTGATTCACTGTAATATGCCATATTTTACATATAACAGCAATGAAAACACCAATATGTGCTGAGCAAACACCATACTACATATTGTAAAAATAATCCAACTTTGAAACCAATTATTATAAAATTAAAAATATGAAACTGTAATTTATGAAATAAAGAGCAATTATGATCTAAAGGGTATCAAAATTTACAAAAAAAAAAAAAAAAAAAAAAAAAAAAAAAAAAAAAAAAAAGCTTAATATTTATTTGTTTACTTTATTAAACATTTCTTTCAATGTAAGTTGTTTAAGTTGCTTTGTTTTATGTGCTAATACTTTCTCTTTAATTCTATAAACAGACATAATTTGTTGTTCAGTTACAAAGTTCCATTGTTCAAGTCCTGTAATTGCTGTGTCGAGAATACTGACTAACTTGCCAATCGAAATTTTTTCATTTTCAATAACCTCTCTGTCACTTTCTTCATTATCGGAAGTGGTATTTTCTGGATCTAGAGCAATACTACAGATTTTGCCGTTCGTTAATTGATTGATGATTGGGGCATTGTCATTGCAATGAGAAACTTCTGCTGCTCTGCACATGCGTAAATGCATTACGTAAATGTGTAAAGCCTAAAAAAAAATTGTGGCTTTGAGGTCAGGATTATAGATTATTCTGGATAGTGGATGTCCGGATTACGGACTTCGCGCTGTATTATGTTATTAACCTCTTCGTCGTCTGTTACGTGTCTAGCGCGTTCAAATGAAACTTCCACAGGGTGGCCGTAACGTGCCTCAAACGTTCTTCTACATTTAAAAACTTTTAAATGTTTAAAATGCTTTCTAAATGTTTACTTGTTTGAGTTTTTATTTTTGTTTGTTCTAATACCTCCTAGAGGGTAGCACTAATCAGGCATTCTATTTGTAATTGAATTTACCCCGGGTTTTATGAATATTCACGCCATTTTACATAAGATATAAGACAATGAGAGATGGCTTCAACATCTACTCAGCAGAAAAAGAGAAACCATGAGGTTGTGAATTGGAAAGACAAGAAGGATATACGTTTAATGAGTACAGTCCATAATAACTCGATGATTGATGTTGGAACACAGAAAAGAACTGTAAAAAAACCAATAATTGTAAAAGATTACAACAACAAAATGGGAGGAGTAGACCGCCTGGATCAGATGTTATCAAATTATCCTGTTAGAAATAACCAGAGATATTATTTTTCTATTATGCTTTATTTCCTTATAATTTTACTTAACATTCATTGACATTCATCCACTATGAAAGTCATGTATGGAAAGTTATGATGTACAAAGAAAACAACATTACATGCAATGAAAAACGGCCCGCTTGGGGGAAATTTTCGCGGACGGGAGAGGACGCCGAAAGGGTTAATGTTACAAAAATTACATACTTGCGTAAATTTCAGCAAATAATAAATCTTTTTAATTGCATTTTTTTCATATCTGTAATATTGTCTACTGATTTACTTATTTACTTGTTGGTTTCAGGATATAATTTTAGGGCTCAATTTCTATGTAATTGAATTAGTCACCACATGTCTGTATACAAGTCTCTATTTCTTCCGAGTCCAATATCATTTGTTGTTGTCTTGTCTGAGGTGTCAGTGCAAAGGAGTCGGATAGGACTGAAAGTATCCAGAACAGCCTCCATCACATCAATAATCTGTGAAGAATACAGGAGTTGCTGCGACGGAGCTATATCTATATTGAAAAGCTTGGCTAAAAGTTGGATTTCAGTACAGTAAGGACAGATATTATAATTTTTTTGGCCATCAGAAGATATCTTCATTCCTTTGAAGTGTTTTGTCCTCAGTCTGGCTATGGTAGTTGAAATGACACAGTTACAATTTAGGACAGAAATGGAATTCTTATTGACCTATTGGGAGGTAAGTATTTAGCTGACTATAGCATTAGCATCGGTAAGGGTTAAGCTATTGGAAAGTTGAGAACTATTTCAGGCATCGTTGGCAAGGCCCACTCATTTCCATATAACTATTAACATGTGCTGGTATCCACTGTAGTGTGCAGGTCCTTTGGGCTGAAGTAGATTTTGTTAATGAGCATGATAATGTCCTGGGTAAGTTGAGAGCTTCCCCTTAGGAAGGCTTGGAGCACAGATTTAGAATCAGAGAATAATAAGAGGCCACTGGAGTTCTGGACTGCCTTAAAAAGGTAGATATCTAAAGCCTTTCTTGATGGCCATGAGCTCGCAGGTATAATTTGAGACATTTTTACCATCAGGTATTTTATGGGATTCAGATTCACCATTAGCATGAATGAAATAGATGCCAGCACCACACCTGTCGAGATCTAAGTCGGAGGAAACATCTGTATATGCAATAGCTAGATTTTGGGCCGAATTTGAAAGTTCATTGATGACGTGGATGCCTTTTTCCTTGATAATTGCAGCTGGCTCTTTTTTGTTAAAAGGTTGCAACAGCACAAGCAGTTGTAAAGGATTGATAATTGCTTGTGCAAAGGGACTGATTGAGAGAAGAGGTTCTTTAACAATATCAATATCTTCATGCTGTAAGTTGATTTCTCTCCTGATTTCATTGTTGAATTGTAGCGTGGAGAGCCGTTTTGATCTTCCACCAACATCGTTTAAATTGTAAAAATAGTTCAAGAGCAACGCAGATATTTAACAATTTCTCCTTACAGTGGCATATGAACAGCTAATAGCCCCTACGGGAAAAAAATTGCTCCCAATACTTCTTATGATTTACCACATTCCAAGAAAAAAAGTTAGAAATAATCAAGGTTTTTTTCGGTGATGACGATTTTTGCGGTGCTGCATTAATTATTATATAAAATAAACACACATTCTTATAGGGTACTAAGGTGGAAAAGCCATAACAGAAATTTTTTCAGGAAAAATATGAATTGTCTTTTGCTTTGCCATAATTAAATACACCACCACACCACACCACACCCTCTTCTTTCACTTTCTGTATTATTAAGTCAACCAAGTTTAAGAAAAGTGAAAATTGGAACCACAGTTAGTTTTTAATTCAGCTTTGCTGATTTGGGGGATACAATTTTTATGAAATTTTCTTTTTATCATGGTATGTATGAAGGGCAAACAAATAAATTGATAGAGAATAGGAGCATGCCATGGAAAATACAAAATTAAGAGGTAACATGCAAAATTTAGGGTTAAAGAACGAAGCCCTCAATTATGAAAGATTTTAAATAAAATTTTATATTCAGTTTCATATGAAATTTGCCCCAATCGATGGATTTTATCATAATACTTATTACTTACTATTTTTAAGAATTGAATAAATAACTGGTTAAGGTAGATAGCAGATAGGCAGAACAACAGGCAAACACAAGAAATCATGTCACCTCATAAATATGAATTATTAAAAAATTTTCAAAAAATATATAAGTAAATAGCATCTGTGTTGTTTTTATATGTTGGGTATGTACTCAGTGATGATTACAAGATGTACACAAGCATCGTCGTTTGTTCTACATTGCTCATCTACTATTCTATATTACAGTTATGATTAAAGATAATAATAGATACAGTTACAGTTACATATATAACAGCATCCCTCTTTATAACATAAAAAATTAGCATCTTACTTACAACATACATTTATATTGAAAATTTCATGAACAAAATTGTTTGACTATATAATTTTTATAAAATGTACAAAAGCTGAAGTATTTCCCCCTCTGCCCCTCCATTTAATTTCTGTAATGATCTTGATAATCTCCAAGTCCCTAATTTTCTTTTTTTTTTCTATCAGCTCTAAATTCTTGGCAGCTAGGATAAATATTATGGCTGGTTAATGTTAATAATAAAACTGATGACAAAAGGCACCATAAATAAATAACAGAAAATCCTGATTTGTTAAAATTTGCATCCTGTTATTTTCATTTCTGCAAAATCATTTATTAATTTCCTCTATGTGCTCAGCCATCTGAACTTCAGTGGATAGCAGTAATACACATGAGTGAAAATAAATGTATAGCAAATTAAAATTATGCACTTTTATGCTTTTCTTGTTTAATTCATTCAATTTACAGACCAGTGTTTAACAGCAACTGACGGCTGAATAAGACTGGATAGGACAGGATCGTTTGGGTTACGGTAATTTACACAACAGCTATCTGTTTTAAGGAAGAAGAAATACATTCGTGAAGGACTTTCTCAGGGAAACAGACTCGTTACACATGGGGGAAACATCAACTATCCCACAGCACAAAACAATATGCATATACACACAGAACATTATAAAACATACAATCGGGCAGTAAAAAAAGGGTTTAGACTTTTCAATTGGTTATGGCAGAGCACACAAGGGCTATCTGCCTGTAGGGAGAAATCTTATAAGAAAGTAACACCTAGAACAACATAAACAATATTCTTTCATAACCAGTAGTCAGTGGGTCTTGTTGTGTGTAAACAGAATTGACTACATATCTTGGATGCTTATGAAAAAGTATTTGACAATAAACTATTAATATGCTCATAAGGATGCACCATACTAGAAATCAGGTAATACTTACCATACATAATTTTAACACTTCACTATAAAACTCTGCAGGAGTAATAATTGTACCTAGCACCATAGGTTCAAAGTATTCTGATATAATATTTGGATCAGGAAACTGAAAATAGTGAAACAGTAAAGTTTAGAAATGAAGGAATGTGTTTTTTGCTCGCATTTTACAAGAAAAATCAAAGTAACTATAATATGAAATGTTGAAATGTCCTACTTTTAGAGGGTTTGTTATAGTAATCTCTTCACCTCCATATGCTTTTATGTTTTTCTCACCTTTAATTTTAACTAGAGAGAAAGTAATAAATATTATTTTACAAATAAAAAATGAATATCATACTAGGAAACCAAATAAAAAATATTATTAAAAAAAAACTAAGTCACAAAAAAGGCAGATAGAAAGGACAAAGCAAAGTAAAATCTAAATGCAAAACATTATAAAAGATAATGACCTTTTGGCCAAAAAAATTTGATTATGATAGTTAAATGAAGGGCTTGTCATGGCAAAGCAACTACTGCATATATTTAGGATCCAAAAAATTGAAAAGAATTTCATTTGAAGTAATAAAATGATTATCAAGAAAGGAAAATTGAATAACACAGAATTCAGCTAGGGATAATGCAAATTTTCATGTTCTAAAAATATTATTTTAATTATTTTCAGGCTCACTCCTGAACTCAAAAAAGGCAGGTTCATAAATTCTTTATATTTCACTTAGATTATTGACAGCAAGAAGTTTTATAAGATTTTATATATCAACACAAATATAATATAATATACCTGCAGTCTTCAGAGGACATTCAAACTACAGGGTGTCTATAATTAAAGAACCCTATTTCAAAGCTGCCTACCAGCGGAATCAGTGATCAGAAAATTTTAAAATTTTGTGGCAGACTTTTAAGGAAGGGATCAGAATGTCTTTCAGCCGGGGGGGGGGAATTAGTTAGAAATAGCATCACCAGAGGAACCGAAGTTGAGCATCAAAATCATGTGAAAGCAACCGCTGCACTAGTGAAAGTTTGTAAGGTTAATATCGGAGGATAGGTCTATCTAACTTCTATTCTATATGCTGAACACTGGTGTTAGCCTAAAAGTTTGAAGCTGTGCCCTATGAACTGAAACATAATCTCCTGTACTACTTATGCAGAAAGAGGTTTTCTTCCTCTTCCAGGAGGAACAGAAAACTATCGTGCTTCTTCAAATTTCACTATCATTTTCCAAAGGTTTTTAACATTCATTGGACATCTTATAATTCAATTCAAAGTCCGAACTTTTCATATAGCAGCTACTGCAGAATAATTCTTTTGATAAAATAATTTTACTAACAAAGCACGATCTCGTAAACATTATAAACAACAAGCATATTGAAAACAAAGTCTCCGCAAATGTTTCTAAGTTTTAGAACAGCTGCTGCATGATGTTGACAAATATTTACATTTTTATTAAAGGTTTTCAAAGTAAAACACCCTCTGGTGACACTATTTATAACTACATATTTGACACTATTTGTTATAAGATCTAGCCTTTTTAGGCCACATAAACTAATCTAGATCTTACAATGAACCTGGCAAATTCCCCCTCAGGCATGAAATAAATACCAGGACAGAAGAAGAGCGAATAACCCTTTTAATTCAAACTACGAACAGTGCCTTTATGCTCTACAATAACACTGACAACTTGTGGTGGAACTTAAATGAAATGTAATATATAAATCAATTCAAGTCTAACTAGAATAGTGCCGGATTAACATGTTACGTTATGGCTAGCTTAGGTTGACTCAACAAAACCTAAGAGACGTGACAATTATCCAAAATGGCCAAGGGGCATTCTACCATAACAGCGAGATAAACAATGAAATGTGCACTGGCTAGTGAAAACACGCTCTGACTAAACTCAGAGATTTACCCATTTAAATACTGACTTAACTTTAAATTTACATCCTGGCAAGGAAATGTGAAGAGAAGTTGAGAACTTCAGGAAAGATAACTAAAATTTGACTAATACGTTAATTTTAATTAAAGGAAACCCCTACATTATTTTTGTTCTCTAAAAGACATTCTCAACTCTTCATTAAGCCCGCCAAAAATTTCCTGATCACTGGTTTCACTTATTATTCTACTGCAGAATGCACAACTAAGCGATAAGACAAGGAAATGGGCTGAGGATGAGACGTGTTATTCACGAATTTCAAGATGTTTTCTCCTGCTTATCTTCTGACGTAAGTCGAACGAGTTTGGTACAGCATAAAATTGATGCGGGGATCATCCACCAATCACGCACAATCCAAAACGTTGACCAACTGCTAAATGGAAAGAGGAAAACTTCTAAAGGACATGCCAGAAAGCTACTTTATCTAGTTTTCGGCAAATCGTTGGTTCTCTCCTGTCATCCTCCCAGCCCCCGAATGAAGGCTGGTTGAACCATATTTCGTAGCATTTCCCCTCTATTTTTACTAATTTTAATCTAATTTCAGAAAGACGCGATTACACTAGAAACATAACAAATGAAGAGTAGCCAGCCACAGATAAACTACAGGTAACTATTACAATATTATTTCTTTAAAAGTAACCTACATTCCAATAAGAATACATAGTAGTAATATTAAGGTTGCAATAACAGAAAATAGAAAAATAATAAAAATAATGGAAAAAAAGAATAATAAAAAATCTAAATAATAAAACAATTAGTTTTACATAAATGCACACAAGGTATATAAATAGATGGAAACATTCTCGTAAAAGCATACTTCCAAAGTTTCATAGCATAAAATGATTGAATACACAGGAAATGATAAAATGCAGAATACCTTTGTATGGAACTCCAGGAGTAGTTACAATAACTTGAGCATCGAATTCTTGATCTAGTCTTTGACAGAAAACTTCCATGTGTAACAAACCAAGAAAACCAAGCCTCCAGCCTGAACCAAGAGCAGGGCTTCAAAATAAGTAAATAAATAAATAATTCTTCATTGATCTTGAAGTTTTGTATAAATTATGCACTTGTCTATATACGTGAGGATTTTCTAAAATTATTCTTAAAGTAAACTTATATGGAGCTTATGTACCTCAAAGCTAAATTTTGGCTCAGTGTACAAAATCAGGCGACTTTTTGCTTCGTTTTAGCTTTTTAATGAAAGTAACTCAAAACTCTGAAAAAGGTTTAATATGAACCTTTTACTAGAATTTCAACTTAACAAATTACACGGCTTATGTAATTAACAGAATAAGTCACCACTTCTTGTGGTATTTAACAGAACATAAATCTTAAGGTAAAATTTAATTAAATAAAGCAAAAATTCACTAGGCAAAGCCCTACTTTAAACTTCGGGTCAGGCCCTGCAATCAGGCGAGAAAACTCTGCTAGCAAAATGCTAAAGCCAATTCAGGTGAAGTTGGGCGAAAATGGTTCGGAAAGGTTAATGATTGCTGATAAAATCTCTTTTTAATTTCAAGAAGCTTTCTTCTTATATACATTAAATAATTTACATCTTAGTGGGAGAGGATGAAAATAGAAGTGACAGCAAAGATAAAATAAGGTAATTGGTTAATAAACGTACAACCTTACAGTTACCATTATCATAATTTAAGCAATTCGGGGACAAAGATCGTAATGGTCTTGGTAGAGAATTTTAGAATTCCAAAACTCAGAGTCAGCCAAAACTTTAAAATTAAACTTGTAACTGACAATGACCTGTTGCTACTATTAACTCTTAATTGAAATGCAAGATATTATTCATCATTCTCTGTTCTTTCCAGATTCTTGGAAGGAAAAACCATATTTTAGCACCCCAAACAACTCTCTTAATCACACAGATAATTTACTTTTATACTTAGCAATTTATTCTACACTCGTGAGCAAACTTAAGAGAATTTGCTCATTATGTCGAATTTACAAAAAATTAATGGACATATTTTAATGAAATTTGATATGAATGCACATTAATAACAGAGAAAGAGAAGTACCATGTTTTTTACCAACCGAAACTTTTTCTGTACCATCACTTCTGACTTTAGTAGTGACAAAAACTTAAAATGGCTAGTGCCAGGGCATTAAAAAAAATTCAGTTGCTGTCCTGTTGATAGTCAATGGGTCTTTTCTTTTCCGTCTTGTTCGCGCAACTGCATGGATTCATGCTGAGATTCCATAAGCTCCCGTTGTCTTGGCCTTTCCTCCAGCAAACTGGGAAGTGTGTTGACTACTTCCCGGATAAATGGTTTCCGTCGTCAGGCATGGCCGACACTAGGCCTTATAAATGACTATCATCCTGTCTTCGTATGTTGCAAAGCACCTATGGAGGTCCTTTTTCTTAATTAGAGTTAGAATGTTTGATAAGGAAGTTGCCGGCCCTAACAATTACCGGCTTCAGTAACTTGCAAATAAATTAGTTGTTGGTGTGTTTTTTAAACTGAGCCTTTTATTGCCTACTACATAAGAACCCGAACCACCAAAAGCAATTAAACTGACTTTATTGATAGTTACAACCCTTTTCTGGATTAGTGAAGACAGGATGATAGTTATTTATAAGACCAGACAGGATGACGATGTGGCTGACAGTGAGACAGGCGACAACGATACGGCTGACAGGACAATGATTTGAATAGTTGTCCTGTCAGTAATTTTCAGTGCTGACAGGTGACCACAATGTGGACGACAGGTGTGGCTAATGCGAGATGTCATCCTTCCTGGCATCAGCCATGCTAAGCCTTATAAATGGTCACCATTCTAGCCTTACAAATTATCGTCACCCTGACTGCAAGAAAGTCTTCTGAAACTTGAGAAACAGTTTAAGCTTCAGATGTATTCATCTGCCAGGAAGTACAATATTCCTGCCGATCGTGACAGTCAAAGTGTCATTCTTTTAAATCCACTTGACAATTCCTCAGTTTTCGTTCTCTGGCGACAAGCCTCCACCCAAGTAGCACAGTAACGTCGTAACGACGTTGCAAACTCGTCGCAGATGTCGTTGCAAAAACGTTGCAATATGTCCTCTTTAAGAAACCCAGATGTTCGCGAAACTCCACTATTTTGCAACCATTGCAAAAACGTCTTTATTACGTCTGTTTCTGCTCCAGGTTCATGTACGAGAGTTGATTACTGCGTGCTCTCTGTATTTGCCTCCCAATAAACGGATCGAACAGCAGCAAACGTAAAATCTTACATAATAAGCAGATAGATTGATTTCATTCTCTTTTTCCTCTTAAATAGCAGAGAGAAAACTTACTTCCATCAGCTTCAATACTATTGAGGACATTCAATACTATTGAGCACGTTATCTGTTCACCATTTCTCTTTTCACTTTGCAAACTGAATGTTGGAAATGATCTTCACAACAGTGATTATTTCTTGCATTTTTGTCACATTTGAAGATTATCAGGAAGAGCCCCATTATAGACCTCCGCACTTTATTTTAGATTTTTCTCCTTTTATGCAGAGATTACAGCTCACTACGGACATGGTAAATGATGCCCTTATGGACGACGCAGATGCAGTAACCAAGGCAGCTAAACTTTTATCCAGGTGTCAGCAACAACATTTTCAAAACATCCAAAACCATGGTGGAATCCATAGTCCATAGAGACTATAAGATAGAAGAAGAAAGTTTGGGGGGGTATGTTTCGCCTTTATCCCACTTTCGCAAACTATCTAAAAAAAGGCCAAGACAGATGCACGAAAAGTACGATGGCCGAGCTACAGGGGCTCTTAGATAGCCTAAGTATAAAAAATATAAGCTTCTACAAGTGAGTATAGGAAAATGTAAAGAAAACAATGGGGATATATAAAAACCACTCACTTTCCATTCCAGGAAAAGATGGCCTAGTGATAAGCAACAAGGAAGAAATTACGAATGCAACAGCAAAGAGTTTCGCTATCATATCATGTAACAGCAGTTATCCACCAGTATTTCTTCTAGCCAAGCAGTGCTCTGAAAAACAGTATGTGAAACACCTTTCAAATTTCTCAACTCGGACCCTTATAACAGCAATTTTACCATCTCTGAGCCAATGAGAGTCCTTTTGAAGACACATAGGTTTAGCCCAGGTCCTGAGGCAATTGATTATGATGCCATAAAGCACCTCTCCATAAGTCACTAAATGCCCCCCTGATTCTCTTCAACAGAGGGTGAGAACAGAACATTTTCCTCAGTGCATGGAAGAAAGCTATTATTATGCAAACTGCTAAGCTAGAATAAGCTCCAAAAATTCCCTTGAACTACCAGCCGATAACATTTACCAACTTCATTTGCAAATTGTTTGAAAAAATGGTAAAAAACCGGCTTGTTTACTATCTTTAAAAAAATAATCTCTGCCTATCAGAGTGGTTTCCGTTAAGACAAATGACCAACGGATTACATTCTTATTTTGACAACCTGTAAATGAAATGGCTTTGTAACAAGAATTCACTTGGATTCTTTTTTTTCTTCCCAATATGGAAAAAGGTTATGTTAAAGCTTTGAGATATGGCATAGTAAGGGATCTTTATGATACTGGCTTGCGCAAGAACATGCCAATTTTTATCCAAAATTTTTTAAGGCTAGATTTTTTCCAAGTAAGGTTTGGTTCTGTATTGTCAGATGTTATCTATAATGAAGAGGGTGTGCCTCAAGGAAGTGTTCTAAGTGTAACGCTGCTCAACATAAAACTAAAGTCGATTCTAAAAGAGCTTCCTCCTTCTACTACAGGTAATGTCGATGTTAAATCTTAAGGTGCAGACATGAAATACGAGGAGAGACATTTGCAGATTGCAATTAACAGGGTATTAAACTGCTCAAATAAACATAGTTTCGCCTTTTCAAGTCAGAAGCCCATTTGCGTGCATTTTCGTTAAAAAACAAAACCTTCATATTGAGCTTGAACTGCATATTCATGGATCCCACTGCATCGTACATGAAATTTCTAGGACTGATATTTGAACGAAAGCTGATTTTCCTTCCACGTGTCTCGTACTTGAGGAATAAGTGTTACAGAAATATGAATCTGCTTAAATTCTGGAAAATACCAGACAGGGCGTAAATTATTGCGTTATGCTGTGCATTACAGTAGTCTAGTCCTTTCATTTAGGTTAAAATAACATGCCGAACAAATATTAATTTAGAAGTCAAACTTTGCACTTTGGCAGCTGAGGCTTGAAACTAGTCCTGTGAAAGTTTGCAAATATAAGGCTGATTTTTGTTGTTTAACTTCTAAATTTATAGTCTAGTCCTTTTTACACTGGACTAAGGTTCAGCAGTGTATGGCTCAGCATAGCTTTCAGTACTTTGGTAACCATATACTTTTCATCATCAGGCTCTCCGTATGTGTTCTGGAGCATTTAGGAACTTCTCCCATTGGAAATCTCTGTGTTTACTGTTACAAGTCGTCGCCTGGGTTAAGGTGTCAGCAATTGCCCTTTTATTATTATTTTAAAATACTATCACAACCTGACCATCTTGTTAACAACACTGTTCCTAATGACATGTTTGATCCCTTGTTTGAAGCACGTCCATCTTGTGTGCCTCCCTTTTCTTCAAGGGTTCTGTCACTGACTGAATAGTATTGCCTGTCTAATGTGAAAGCCGAAGCAGTAAGATATCTGCAAATCCCACCATGGGATAGTGCACAAATTCAGATTCTGAGTATCCTTCAACAATCTGATAAAAAGAACATTAACAAGTTCATTTGTAACCAACATTTTCTTCCACATAGACACAAACACTGCGATTACATCCATGCATATACATATGGGTCAAAAGCAGCCAGTTATGTGGGAACATCGTTCATGATTAAAAACTCTATGGAAGGTAGACGACTGCATGCTACTTGCTCAGTACTCACTTCGAGGTAACTGCTATTGATTACACCCTCTCATAGATTCAAACTATCCCAGGAAAAATTCATAATACATATTGACTTTTAGAGCATTTTGGAAGCTTTAGAAACATTCTTTCACACCCAGAA